GGATCACCTTGTTCAAGGTTGACCTGAAATCCGGGTTTTGTCAGAACAGGCTCTCAGAAAGACTCGAATGGACCAAATTCAGAAGATTGGGGTAGTAATCTTGGATCTTTGCTAACAGATCTACTTTTGTGGACAGGGCCATAGGCATGAATTCAGCCCAAGCTATGGCTCATGACTGGTTTGTGTTCAATTTCCCACTTCTGTGATAGGGTGGCCTTGCGGCCAGCTCTAATCAACAAGAGAATGGAGTGTGGGGGGCTTCTTGGAGAATTTGTGCTTTTCTGGTAAAAGGGTCACATGCTCGCTCCTTTCTCCTTCCTGCCTTAAGCATGACATGAGGGCTGGGGTCGGCTAAGGCCAGAGGAATTACACACAGGTCAGCTTTGACATTCTTGGGCACTGGCCTATCATGCCAATGGCTGTCTGTCTCTGGATCCCTTGCAATGTGAGCCGAATAACCCTCCTTTTTTGTTTGAGCTTCTCAAGTAGCTTGCACAGTGTCCTCTCCCAGTTCACATCCACAGAGCACCTCAAGCTAGGACCTTATTTAGAGAGTCTTTCCAGAAGTAATTAGCTAAGGCTCTTATATGAAATTGTCCTTGATTTAGGATGGGCCTTAAATTCAATGACTGGTATCCTTATAAAAAGAGGAGATGAGCTAGGCACCGGTGGCTCACACCTGTAATCCTAGCTATTTGGGACACTGAGATCAGGAGGAGCACAGTTTGAAGCCAGCTTGGGCAAATAGTTTGCAAGACCCTATCTCAAAAAAACCCAACACAAAAATTGGGCTGGAAGAGTGTCTCAACTGGCACAGCACCTGCTTAGCAAGTGTGAGGCCCTGAGTTCAAGCCTCAGTACTGAGCAGGAGAACCACTGAGCTAAGAGACTTTGAGAAATATTCAACACTTATTTTAATTTTGTCGGGGAGGCGGCACTGGGGTATATTTGTTTGAGAGTAGTTTGTTACTCAGCAGTAACTGACTAATATACCGATGCCTTGATTTTTTTTTTTTTTTTAGTTACTTATATTACCTATTCAGCACTTGTGAGCAATTGGGTTTGGGAAATCCAGTCTTGGCGGAGGTTTTAAAATTTCACAGCACTTAACAATTACTCAGAGAGCAAACTGAGTGGTTCCAGCCTATAATCCTAGTTACTTGAGAGGCAAAAATTGGGATGATCACAGTTCAAGGCCAACATGGGCAAAAAGTTAGGAAGACCCTTCCTTAACTGATGGCCAGGTGCAGTGGCGCACCTGTCATCTCAGCTATGCAGGGGACCACAAACAGGACTGCAGTCCAGGCCAGCCCAGGTATAAAGTGAGATTCTATCTCAAAAATAACCAACACAAAAAGGGCTGGAAGAGTGGCTCAAGTGGTAGAGCACCTGTCTAGCAAGTGTGAGGCTCTGAGTTCAACTCCCCTGTCCAGAAAAAAAAAATTCAGGGAGTTTGTTTAAAATAGAGATTCCTGGGCACACTCCTAAAGAAGCAGGATGGGCCTTACATAAATTCCATGTGTGCATTTTGACCAGCATTGCTGATTCTGGCCTGGCAGTTCATGGGATAAACTTTTTTCATGGGAACAAATCACTAAAACCATAGTATAATGTCTACCATTGCTCCTTCCCCAGTATCAGGAGAGAGAGAGGAGTATGTTTGAACCCCAAAGGGAAAGTGCTGGGCTTCTCTGTGGAAACTGATAAGCAAAGAGCAAGACCTCCCTTGCTCAGGGTCTCACTGCATTTTATACTAAGTATTGGTTCTTGGTTTGCATTAAGAGATATATTGCTTTTAATTTATGTAGAAGATTTATGATAAAATATATAAATATCCAAGCCCTTGTTCTAATTTTAAAAAGTTGTTTGATGGCTGATGAATCAAATGAAGAGGGATTAGCTAAAGGCCAACTACAAAGACAGAGCTTGAGGCAATCAGGAAAAATCTCAAGTGCTGGAGAAACAAACGAGGATGACCTGGGTAGGTCCTGAAAGTTGGCACGGGCACCGCCATGTTCACGCCTACTGGTCATTCAGCTGAGGACCTGACCACATGTCACTGAGTCCTGGAGCTGGTGCACAGCAAAGGACACACATGGTTCTCCTTGTGGACCTTATATCTGAGTGGGGTAGACAAATGCAGATGAGTCAGATAAATAAGATATGTATTAGATGGTGGAAATAAGTGTGTCTCCCCAGATAATGTCCAGGTCTTTACCATGGATGTAGCTGTCTTTGCCACTGTTATCAGGTTAAGATGAAGTCATCGGGTTTGCCCTAATCCAAGACAACTGGCGTCTTACAAGCAGAGACACAGATACAGGAAAGTGCCACGTGATGACGGAGGCAGATGAATCTACCAAACAAGGAATGCCAAGAACACCAGGAACTTAGAGGAATGCATGAACCAGTCTCCCTGAGAACCTTCAGAGGGAGCGAGTGAGCAAGTATGGCCTTGCTTAGGCCTTGATTTTAGACTTTTGGACTCCAGAAATGTGAGTTCTTTTAAGTCACCCAATTGGTGACTTATGTAGGCATAGAAAACTAATGGGAAGGGCAATAGGGGATGTTGAGGATGAAGTCTGCAGCTCAAGTAGGGCTACTTGGAAGCCACTAAGGTGTGAGAGAGGGTAGGAAGGACACCATGTGGATGCATGGAAGAAAAGCATGCCAGGCAACTAGAACAACCAATGCAAAGGCCCAGGGACTGCACTGTGCCAATCTGTGGGTGATACAGGCTGGGTCAGGTAGGGGAAGAGCTGTGAGAGAAGGGGGGAGGTTGAGGAAGAAAGACAATGAGGTAGGGTTTGCAGGTCATAGCAGGGTTGTTATATTTTGCTGAGTAAGAAAGCTACTGGAGGGCTTTGAGCAGAACACCTGGATTACCTGATTTTTAAAATATAACATTTTAAAATTTTTTTAAAGGCTCACCCAAGGTCCTGTGTGGTGAAAATGTGGAAGGGGTTAAGAATGGTTTGTAGGAAACCCTCTGGGAGGCAAGGTTATAAATCAGGTCAGAAATAGTGGTAGTTGGAAAGGGGAGGGAAAGGGGTAGCAGTTTGGTTTTGATGCTTCTGTCAGTAGAGCCAAGATGACCATGAGGGCAGAGAGACAGACAGAGACAGACAGAGAGAAAGGAGCCAGGTATGATTTCAAGGATTTTGGCTTGAGCCACTGAAAGCAAGGAATTCCAAAATAGACTGTTCGACTTGTTTATGAGTTTCTGTAGTTTATTTAACTCACATGTTCTAATCCTTGGTCATAATTTCCACATGTACAATAAAAAACTTCTGAAGTGAAGCATTCGTATTTGTTAATAACACCACTTGTCCGAAGGCCTTGGAATGCAATACGAGGACCTTTTCTGTCCGGGCAATACGTGAAGTGTCAAGCACCGAGTAAGGGAGGCTGCTCAGGGATGCAGGCCAGGAGAGCTTAAAAAACACGCTATTGAAAAGGCCTTGTCCCACGAGGCTTAAAAACAATGGAGCCCAGGAGCTGGACTCCGTTCAGGAGCTGAGGGTCGGGGCCCGCGCGTGTATTTGCGGGGCTCCCTCTGAGGAGGGCGCTGTGGCAGCCGCGGGGCTCACGCGGCACAGCAAACGCACCTGGCAGCTCAGCATGAGCTGCGCAGACCTCAGGTTGGCGCTGCATTCCGAGCCACGCTACGGTCAACCCGCTTCCGTCGCACTCAGGAGACTGGCACTGCAGACCGCGGACAGGAACAATTCCGGGAGAGTCCTGCTGTCCTTCCCCGCTCCTCCCCGCGCCCCCTGCGGCGGTCAGTCGGGGGCAGCCACCCCGCACAAGGCTGCTGGTCCGGTGCTGAGCACTGCCTGTTTCGTCTGGGGGAGTCGCCCTGGGGAGTCAACTCTGCACGGAGAATCACGTGTAAAAGGCAACAAAACGTGTGGGGCACACGGGCCAGCAAGGAGGATCCTGGCACGCCACCCCCCGGAGAGTGGGCTCCCGGGGCTCCGCCGCGGCGCCTCCCGCAGCCGGCGACCTGTCTGGCTGCGGGCAGCACGTGGGCGGGCAGGCGTGCGGACGCGAGTGACCGCAGCAGGATCGGACCCGCCGCGCAGCCCAATAATGAAAGACCGGACAGGTCGGAAAGGTTTTCCTAGGAGACCGGCCCCTTCCCAAGCTCATCAGCATCCAACACCCGCCCCGGGATGCGCGGAAACTTCCACCCGGCGGCCAGGCGGTCCTGCGCACGCGCGGCGCGGCCCGGGCCGAGGTCAGGGCCCACCCCCTCTACCCCCCCACCCCGCCCCACAACGCGCATGTCCGCACGCCCGACGACACTCCACCCCCACCCGCCACTTCCAACCCCCAGGCCCAGCCCTGTCTGGTCTGGAAGGGTCCCCGCCGCCGCTTCCCCTCAGCCCCTCCCAGTCGCGTAGCCTTCCGACACCGCCCTCCCCGCCGAGGCCGAGGGCGCTCAGTGCGCAAGCGCGGTAACCAAGGCGGCGCTGTCTATAGAGGATTTGAAATCGCCGCGCGTGCGCACTGCGTCGCGGGCCGCGCGGGAGGCCGCGCCTCCTCCTCCCCGCCCCCGCCCGCTGCCTCCCCGCCCCTCATTGGAGCGGAGGCGGCGGCCCCCTCCTTCCCCCGCGCCCTGTCGCCGCCGAGGGTGTCTTTTCGCCGCCGCCGCCGCTGCAGGAGCACGGAGCGCGCGGTGCGTGCGTGACTGAGGACCCGGCACTCGGGCGGCGGCGCCTCCGCGGGTCCCTGGGCCCGCCCCCTCGGCCCCGTCGCCGCCCCTCCGATGGCCTCTCCCCGCGGCCCGAGTGCAACGCCGCCGCCGCCGCCGCCGCCGCGCGGCCCCCGCGCCCGCCCCGCGCCGCGTGAGCCGTACCGGAGTCGGAGCCGCCCGCGGGCCGTGCCGAGCGCCGAGCCGCGCCGCGGCCTGTCCCGGCCAGCCGCCCGCACCGACGGAGCGCCAGCCGAGCCGGGCGCCGCACGGCCCAGGCCCGTCCGTCCGTCCGTCCGTCCGCCCGTGCGCGCGGCCGACCCGGGGCGCGGCGGGGGCGGGGCCGCGGCGGGAGGCGCGGGCCCCGCGGGGGCGGCGCGTGGATGGATCCGCGCGTGGCCTGGATCCAGCCGGAGCAGAAGGGGCCGGCCAATGCCCTGTGGATGCAGATCTGGGAGACCTCGCAGGGCGTGGGCCGCGGCGGCGGCTCCGGCTTCGCGTCCTACTTCTGCCTCAACTCGCCGGCGCTGGACACGGCGGTCGCGGCGGGGGTGGCCGGGCGGGGCGGCGGCCTGGGCTCCGCGCTGCCCGCCGCGTCACCCCCGCCACCCGCGCCGGGCCCCGCCGCGCTGCCCCCCGCGCTGCTGACGGCGCTCGGGCCGGCGGCCGAGGGCGCCCGGCGCCTGCACAAGTCACCGTCGCTGTCGTCCTCGTCGTCGTCCTCGTCCAACGCCGAGTCGGGCACCGAGAGCCCCGGCTGCTCGTCATCGTCCTCCAGCAGCGCCTCGCTCGGCCGGCCGGGCGGCGCCTTCTTCAGCTTCGCCGACGGCGCGCCCAGCGGCCCGGGCGCGGCCAACGGGCACCCCGGGCCTCGCGGCCCCGCGCCCGCCGGCTCCCCGCCGCAGCACCAGTTCCACCCGGGCCGGCGGAAACGCGAGAACAAGGCCAGCACCTACGGCCTCAACTACCTGCTGTCCGGCAGCCGCGCGGCCACGCTGAGCGGCGCGGGCGGCCCCGGGGCCCAGGAGCCGCGGCCCGGCACGCCGTGGAAGAGCCGCGCCTACAGCCCGGGCATCCAGGGGTGAGTGCGCGCCGCCGCGGGCCCCGATGGACGTGGAAGGCCCAGGCCCTGCTCCACGCTCTCGCAGGCGTGCTGCCCAGGTCCCGGAACTGACAGTGCGGGGCCCTGAATCCCGCTCCGGGCGCCGCAAAGGGAAGCTGACTGTTCTCATTCCTCCTTCCGCACCAGGAAAGGGGGGACTCCTGGTGAAAGGGGTGCAAACACGTGTAGCGATTCCTGCCAAGCTGGGTACTGTTTTAGCATTGTCAGGAGCACGACTCAGGTTGAAGGTAGCGATTGACTTTTCCTTCTTCCTTTTGAGAAAGTCCCTGTAAGAGAGGAGTAGGGTGTTGGGGAAGTGATGCCGTTTAGTGAATTTAGAAGTGATTTGTGTGGGGTTGCCCATTATGTTTTAATTCGAGCAAGGCAGACGGTAGTTTAAAGAACATCATTTGGGGCTTTTACAAATTTCCTGATAGCACTAAAAAAAAATCCCATTTATTAATTACATACTAATTCTTTGGAAGTGTCATGTTCATTTTAAGTATTTCCACATAGCCTAGAGGGCCTTAGAAGTTCATTGCAAGTTGAACGCACCCAACGTCAGCAAGGACTGAAAGGAAACACAACAGCGAGGGGTGTGGTCTGGGATTATCCCAGGTGAGGCTGCTCTGGTGTGGTGCCATTTACCTGGTCCCTTTGCTGATTTTTGCTTCTGCAGACAAACTGTTTTGGATGTATGTCAGCATGTGAGAGCTTTGCATAGTTTCTCGGTGATTTAAAATGCAGTGAAGGATTTCCCAGGGAATTAGGGTTGTTGCAGTTTAGTTCTACAAACCCGATTGCTAGGTCTGGATTCCCTCATAAAGGTAATTTTTTGTTCTTACAAAAAAGCTCTTGTTACGTCTTATTTGAAGTGTGTTGGAAACACTTAAAGTTGATACTACTTTAAAGTGTGTTTGCTACATGGTAGCAGCACACCCTGCAACTTGTTTCACCTGGTTTGAGTTAGAAGCTACTTTCTCAGTCTTCCTGAAGCCTGAGCATCAGTCTCCTTGGCCCTCTGGAAGGCCCAGGCCCTGCTCCACGCTCTCGCAGGCGTGCTGCCCAGGTCCCGGAACTGACAGTGCGGGGCCCTGAATCCCGCTCCGGGCGCCGCAAAGGGAAGCTGACTGTTCTCATTCCTCCTTCCGCACCAGGAAAGGGGGGACTCCTGGTGAAAGGGGTGCAAACACGTGTGGCGATTCCTGCCAAGCTGGGTACTGTTTTAGCATTGTCAGGAGCACGACTCAGGTTGAAGGTAGCGATTGACTTTTCCTTCTTCCTTTTGAGAAAGTCCCTGTAAGAGAGGAGTAGGGTGTTGGGGAAGTGATGCCGTTTAGTGAATTTAGAAGTGATTTGTGTGGGGTTGCCCATTATGTTTTAATTCGAGCAAGGCAGACGGTAGTTTAAAGAGCATCATTTGGGGCTTTTACAAATTTCCTGATAGCACTAAAAAAAAATCCCATTTATTAATTACATACTAATTCTTTGGAAGTGTCATGTTCATTTTAAGTATTTCCACATAGCCTAGAGGGCCTTAGAAGTTCATTGCAAGTTGAACGCACCCAACGTCAGCAAGGACTGAAAGGAAACACAACAGCGAGGGGTGTGGTCTGGGATTATCCCAGGTGAGGCTGCTCTGGTGTGGTGCCATTTACCTGGTCCCTTTGCTGATTTTTGCTTCTGCAGACAAACTGTTTTGGATGTATGTCAGCATGTGAGAGCTTTGCATAGTTTCTCGGTGATTTAAAATGCAGTGAAGGATTTCCCAGGGAATTAGGGTTGTTGCAGTTTAGTTCTACAAACCCCGATTGCTAGGTCTTTGGATTCCCTCATAAAGGTAATTTTTTGTTCTTACAAAAAAGCTCTTGTTACGTCTTATTTGAAGTGTGTTGGAAACACTTAAAGTTGATACTACTTTAAAGTGTGTTTGCTACATGGTAGCAGCACACCCTGCAACTTGTTTCACCTGGTTTGAGTTAGAAGCTACTTTCTCAGTCTTCCTGAAGCCTGAGCATCAGTCTCCTTGGCCCTCTCTCCCTCCAGTTCTTACTTGTAGAACTTTCTGAGGCCGGTGGTAGGGAGCTTCTTCTAGATGCGTGGCCGTGAACCTAAGGGATCCCTTGGGAGGACCTTCAGGTTGCCAGCCTGTTACATAACTGGAATGGATGCTGTCTTTGCAGTAGGAAAAAATCAGAAGATGTGGTCTGTGCTCTGACAGTCCAGAGTTGTACTTCTGTCCCACCTAAGCTGTGGCAGCCGTATTTCCTTGTGTGTGTCCCTCAGGTTTTGAGGTTTCCTCACCTAACCCATAGGCTTCTAGGCAGCTCCAGTGTGTGGCTCTGTGGCTTTTATTCATTAGTTCACTGGCTGTCCAGTGCTCCTGTCAGTCCTCTAAGTCCGTCATCAGTGAGATGTCCATTTGGTCTGTGTTTCTTCACACCTCATTCTTATTCTCAAGGCAGCTATAGTCACCTCTGCTGATGTCGTCTGTGCATTCTGACCCAGCTCAGCGCTTTCCTAGGGCCTCCAGTGGGTTTGATCAGGTTCTGTCTCCTTCCAGCCCCCTCTGATGACACCCCTCTACTCCCCCACCAGGTTAAAGACCAGTGTCTGAAACTCAGTGATGTTCCAGGGCTCTGCGGCTTTGCTTGCTGGACCCTGCTTCTATTCCCCTCTTGAAACCCAGCTTAGAGGCAGTATATGGTGGAAGGTTTAAAAATGAACTCTGAAGCCAGCTAGGAAGTCTGGTTTGCTTCTTACCTAAGAGGGAGATGATGCTCTCCTGCTCTTTGAACCTGTCTCTTTCCTTTGCCTGGTGACCCTTCCTGTCTGTCTCAGGTGGCATGTGCCACAGCCCTGTTAGGGGTGTCTGAAGTGAATCTGCTTCCTGCTATCACTGCCTAGAGAAGGAGCCAACACCATTGCCTGCCAGGTGCCTGGGGGGGGGCGGGGCAGAGGTTGGGGTGACCTCTTCCTGGCTCCCTACCCTTTCAGAGGGGACAGGGAGGAAGTAGTAAGCCAGCAGTGGTGGAGCAGCGCCTGTGATTGGAGAACAGGTGGCGGCCCTAACAATTGTTCTCGTGCGGCCTATTGGTCTTATGGGAAGTAACCTTTTGGTGTCAGGAGAGAGGTCTGTGTAAAAGTTGTCTCATCTCCCAGCTCGCCCAGAGTGCTGGGCCAAACCTTCTGTGCGCCTTCACTGAGGTGAGGTGAGTGAAGAACCTGCTGATAGTTCCTGATGGTCCCAGGATGTGCAGTTCTGAAGACAGTGTCTGTTGTCCTCAAGAAAGGTGAGCCATCACCTGGTGTGGGAGTCTGAGGAGCTCCTGCCGAACCCAGTGGTCTTAGTCTAGCTGCCTGAATAGCAAGCTGTGCCATTCTGCTGGGGAGTTTTCTGTCCTTGGAAATTTGGCTTGGGGGGCCTGAGTTTGTGAGACTTTCAGGTTGCTTTCAACCTGGAGTAGGATGAAGAAAAAGCAGGTCAAAGGAGAGGGATTCAAGCAAGAACTTTTAGAGTGGAGAAAGTGAAATCCTTGTTTGGGAACTGTCATTGATTACTACTCCATTTTATTTGAAGTCTCAAGAACCTTTGCTTTGGAAATGGTGTGCAGAGTGTGAGACATGCTCTCTGTATGGGCTTCTGACTAGAGATATGTGCAGGTGTTTGGACAGGCTTCCTGGCTCTGTACATCTTTCCCTTTCTGAGCCACTGACCCAGCAGTGCAGTTCACTTGTCCATATCAGTCCTAGTAGAATTAGGAAAACCTCTTCAGGTTAAAGGTAAGGAAAAGCCTGTATAAGAGAGAGTGGGAGGGTGGCCATCACAGATTGGCCTCATCCTTACTGGTTGTTGCAAAGCCCCAGGAAGCATGCAGTTGGACATGGGGAGTCCCCCCCAGCTCTGGCAGACATCTGCAGTACAGTGCCCTGACCAGCTCCAGTTTGGAATTTGGCATTGTGAAGGTCGTACCAGCTCAGGTGTGCCTGTGGTGTGCAGCAGTGGGCAGCTTCCTCTGCAGGTCCCTTGGCAATAGTTAACCTTTTGTTGTCTTCTTTGTCCCCAGTGGAGCTTCTGGTTCCAATCTGAAGTCTGTTGAGAGGTCAGCATTTGTAGGACTTGGTCAGTGGCGACCCTCGTATGAGTTGTTCCCAACTCGATGCATGATGTCTTCACTCCCTTCTTGTGAGGGAGTCAGAGCTTTACTGAGCAAGCAGACTCTCCTTTGCCTCCATAGCTCCAGCCTGACCTAACAGAACTGTAGTAGAGCCAGGGCCTTCCCGGAGAATGGTCTTGGCAGGCCCAAGTGAGAGGGCCCAGGTAAAGGCCCACAGGGCAGGATGTGCTGCAGAGCCCAGGTGTGATCACTCCAGGTACCTTTCTGTCCTTCCAAGTGGGAGAGGTGGTGGTTTGTGAGACCTGCCTCAATGGTGATGGTGGCACAGGTGGATCTTGCTTCCTGGGTTTCATTCTCTAAGACCCTAGCTGTAGAACACTGGAGGGGGAAGACAGAACAATTACACTACACAAGTATTTTCTGCTGCACTGACCACTTAGTGGTTTAGCTCCAACCCAAGCACTCCTCCCATTAAAGAACAGCATCGCTCTTTCCTGCCGTGGTACCACACAGTGAATTGGAAAGCCTAGTGCAAAATGCTGGCTGTGGTGAAGAGCAAGGAAAGTCCTGGAGACCTGCTTGAGGCTTGTGTCCAGTCGCTGATCACCAGGACCTGCACAGTTAGGACAGCTGATGCTGGACAAGGACATGCCTGGGAAGACATGGAAAAGAAGGCATAGAATATCAGACAGGCTGGCATGGTCCTTAGGAGAAATGAGAGATCTAAGTTTTTCCAATAAAATGGCTGAGTGCTCATGCTGTGGAAATTGGAGCAGATTTCATCCATCTTGCATCTGTGAGCCTTTGATGGAAAAGCAATGCTGATTTCATCTCAGAGCTAACAGGCAGTTGTGACAATTT